CTTGAAATGTTTATACTCCTGGCACGAACCGGTCAACGGGTTTATGCGTACGCTGAGATCTGCGAAGCGTTGGTGCATCTGACGATTGTACAGAATCCTGGGGTTTGCTTCCGTTTCCGGCTGAACGGATGCTGATTCACCCAGACGTTCATCTGCTGTTGTCCCAACAAAACGTGAGCGTATATGGTCTGAGTGTCGCCGTACTATTCGACCATTTAATTCAAGATCTGCTTGGGTACAGTCACCTTTAATTACAGTTGCGGGTTGCCAGCAGTGCTCATGGGGAAGTCTTGTGTATACGGGATCACCCGGCTGCCAACTAGAGTCGTGGTTATTTTGCGATGCGGCAGCCTTGTCTTGTTTCTTCTCCATTTGTGCTCTATGATTTGGAAACAGAAGATCCAGTCTGGTACGGAGTGTTCTGCCAAACATCATCTCCGCGGGTGATTTACCAGTGGCTTCCGAGGGCGTTATCCTGTAAGCAAACAGCAAGCGATCTAACCTCGTCTGAACAGTTCCTGGTGCTTGTTTCGAGAGACCTCTTTTAATTGTCTGCACCGCCCTTTCCGCTAGCCCATTAGAAGCAGGGTGATATGGAGCTGTACGGACATGCTGGACACCATTGCTATTCATGAAGATTTCAAATTCTTTGCTAGTGAAACATGGCCCATTGTCTGTGCAGAGTGTCTCCGGTATCCCAAATATTGCAAATGACGACCGCATTTTGGAGATAGTTGTCTCTGTAGTAGGGTGGGCAACGGGATAAACATCTATCCATTTCGAATGAGCGTCAATTAGCAGCAGGAAAAATACACCATTAATGGGTCCAAAGTAATCCGCATGGATGCGCTGCCATGGCTTTTCAGGCCAACGCCAATGGTGTACCGGACCGGGAGCTTTATTTGACTGATACTGCTGACACAAACCACATGTTTTTAGATAGTTCTCTATCTCTGTATCTAGACCAGGCCACCAGCAATAACCGCGCGCCAAGGCTTTCATTCGGGCTACGCCTGGATGTGCGTTGTGGAGTTCCTTTATGATGAACGGCCGTGCCTTTAGCGGTGGAATCAGGCGGGATCCCCAAAACAAGCATCCATCGTGAAGGCTCAATTCATTTTTCCGTTGTGCGTAAGGTTTAAGATCGACGGGAACTGTAGTAGGCCAGCCGGTTTTTGTAAATCGCACTATAGAAGATAGCGTTGGGTCACGATCGGTCCACTGACGTATGGTGTCACCTGTCAATGGAGTGGTGTCGAGGTGTTGCATTAGATTTACAAGCTCTACTGGTTCCTCCAGTATTTCGTCTGGGGTCGCATGTGGTAACCTGCTTAATGCATCCGCTGTATGATTGTTCAACCCAGGAATATACGAGATTCGATATTTATATGCACTTAATATTAATGCCCAGCGTTGCATTCTCGGTGAAAACATCTGCTCGATTCCCTTTGACTCGCTCAGCAAGGATATCAGTGGTTTGTGGTCGGTTTGTATTTCGAAATAGTTTCCCCAAATGTACTGATGAAACCTCTTGACGCCAAATATAACTGACAGGGCTTCTTTATCCAGCTGGGAGTAATTCTTTTCGGCGGGTTGTAAAGTTCGTGAAGCAAATGCAATCGGGTGAATGACACCATTGGACATTTTGTGGCATAGAACTGCTCCGACTCCGTATGGAGAGGCGTCACATTGTAAGATTAACGGTTTTTCACTATCGTAATGGACCAAAACAGGTGCGGAAGCAAGACACTTCTTTGCACAAGTAAAAGCAGATTGATGCTCACTTTTCCACATCCACGGGATGTTTTTGTGTAACAGTTCGTTTAATGGAGCAAGAATGGTCGAGGCATCAGGTAGGAAACGACGATAGTGGGACAACATTCCTAGGAACGATCGTAGTTCATCACTATTCTTGGGCTGAGGTGCCTGCACAATAGGCGCTATCTTATCTTGCAGGACATGCAAACCGGTTTTGTCCAGTTTGTAACCAAGGTAACAAACAGAATCGGATAAGAACTCACATTTGGACTTTTTTAATTTTAACCCACACTCTTCCAGACGCAGGAGAACAGTTCGCAATGTGTTTAGGTGATCAGAGTCACTGCGACCAGTAACAAGGATATCGTCCAAGTATGCACAGGTGAACGGTATATCTTTAACTATATTATCCACTATACGTTGGAAAATGCTGGGTGCTGAATTTATTCCAAACGGGAGACGCGTGTACTGGAATAGTCCCAGGTGGGTAGTTATTGTGGTCAGTTCCTGTGACTCATCATCAAGTTCGACCTGAGAGTATGCGTGACTGAGATCTAGCTTGGAAAACTTTTGGCCGCCGGCTAAAGTCGCGTACAAGTCTTCAATACGTGGTAGGGGATATTTTTCCACTTTCGACGCTTGGTTGACTGTCAACTTGTAGTCTCCGCAAATACGGACGGAGCCGTCAGGTTTGAGTACAGGTACAATGGGAGTGCCCCAATCTGAATGTTGCACCGGGACTATGACTCCTTCTGATTGCAGACGTTGTATCTCTGCCTCAACTTTAGGGCGCATTGCATAAGGTAATGATCTAGCTTTGTAAAATTTTGGTTCGGCACCCTCTCGGAGTTTGATAGAAGCCTTGAAATGACGCATTTTCCCAGTTTATTTTCAAACAACGATGAGAACTCGTTCAATAATCCATTCAAACTGCCGTCTTCAACAGTGAGTTGGTTGAGTTGCATGGTCTCGGGAAAGAACTGTATCCAGTCTCGACCCATGAGATTCGGTTTGTTCCCAGGTACAACGATTAAGGGCAGGGTGAATTCTCGCTCCCCTTGCCTGGCTTTAACGAAACATCTGCCCAACACCTGAATTGGATCACCTGTGTACGTCTGTAATCTCGAGTTGCACGGTAGCAAAGGTGGTAGCTTTTTCATTGAACCGCGGTTTACAATGGTGACCGCCGCCCCAGTATCTAGCTCCATGTCTACCGGTTCATCCTCTATCATCAAACGTATTGTATAAGGAGGACAGTTTTTGTGTGTCACACTGTTCAAGTACACGGAGTTAAGCTCACTGTTCAAATTTTTTAGGACATTATCTTCCCGTAGCTCTATCTTGCTTTGACGATTTGATGAGGCGATGTTCGTGGGGCGGGAACTTTCCGATCTACAGACGCGTGCTAGATGACCTATCTTGCCACATTTCCGACAGATACTTTCTTTGTGCCGGCAATCGGAAGCGTGAGAATGCCGCAAACCGCAACGATAACACACAAATTGTTTTCGATTTTCACTGGTGTCTGATTTACGGACCGCCTGCACATCATCAGCTACCGGCCGACCGGTGAACTCGCGTAATTGGTGTGTAATGTTCTCACGTTGGCGAACGATGAGACAAACGTTTTCCCACGTGGTGGCCGACTCATCCAAGGATAGCAACTTCTCTCTAGCACTTTCGTCCGATATTCCCGCAATCAAACATTGAATTTTCATTTGCTCTTCAATTTTTCCAGGTGGAATATCATTATACTTACAATCAGGAATAGCTTGGTGAATATGTGCAATAAAATTATTGATGCTTTCGTTCGGTTTTTGGACAAGTTTTGAAAAGCAGTATCTAGCAGTGTAAACATTCTGCTTCAGCCCCCACCACGTGGTATAAGTATCCAAAGCAGAACTGAGGGTGGCATAGTTTTCCAGTTGTAGGGCATCGTAGTGCCGTTGATCTTCATCGCCAAGCACTTGCCTGAATAGTGTGATTTTGTGAGCCTCAGAAAGACAAACGGTCGGATTCAGTACAGGAAGTAATTCCACGTAGTTAGTAAATGATTTTCTCCATCTTATCCAGTTCGATAAGGTCGGTTTTTCCTCAGCAGATGACCAAAATATAGGAGGTGTATTCAACATTGGGTTCGTCATTTTCGTCGCCACTAATACGTAGTACCACTAAGCATGTAACGCACGCTTCCGAGACACGTAATCCCAGCAAGCAGAAGACGTCTAAACAGCAGGAGGTTTATCAATCAATTGAGGAAGGTACAAGACTCACGGAACTCGCGTTGCGAGACCGGGGGTGTGTGTCTGATGATTGGCTGGCTGTTTTGTGTAGTAACCAATCCACGTTGCACATTGCACAGACGCCCATTTGCAACGTTGTTGCGTAACATAATTAAGGTAGGTAGCTCGCTTGGCTTAGAGCACAGTATGCTGTTGCGAGTACGTCAAGTAACCCCGCAAAAATGCGCCACAAACTCCAATGGGTGGGCTGCGAGACGCAGAGTTCAATTCCTGCCCACAAGATAGCAAGGTCCAGGCACTCCGAGTCGAAGCGCAACTGGGCTAAAGTTAACAACGCTTTTCTCATAAACCACCAGCCCTACTTGGTTATTCATTTTACCCACAAAATGAAGCATTGTGAAAAAGGTGTTTCGGCATTTGTGGGTCGTAAAAAACTCTCAGAGGTCCGCTTCGTCTTCTCTTGTCTCCTCTTGCGGGTAGTTGGAATTCGCGTGGTCACGCGACTGTGTGCGCCGCTCTAACCATGTGTTTTGTTTGTGTCTAAGTCTCGCGCGTCTAGTCCCCCGGTCGTGTGCGTATCGTTGTATGTTTTCGAGGACTCAGCGTATCACCGGAATACGCGCGTCAATAGAGGTCGTGCTCAGGTTACGCGTAACTTACGTGTATTATAACGCGACCAGGTCTGCGCAAATCTGTTACATACGCTCACACTAAAGTTGGACACGGTAAGCACGCTGCTGGAGTCTTTGCACTTGCATACCTCTATTCTATTCTGCCGAGTAATAGTCCATGATCACCTACTATTCCATATGTCATCGGTTCTTGTCCTTTAGTGGTGTTGTTAGAGCGTTAACATTAACATGTGAACGAAAACAGTTCGCTTGAAGACTGACGCTGGTCTCGAACTCCCCCGAGGACCTAAGTTCTTTACTCTTAGCTCCCAGAGACACTCTGCCTGACACAAAGTCCAATGTAATCACTACATGTATATGCACTAACCTGATACGGCGCCGGGATGAAGTGGTCTATGACCAAGGTGTACAAGGCCAGCTCGCGCTCCAGCTGGTTAATATTGTCCAATAGTCCTTCCATCTCTCGACTGTGTTCACTTCGCACGTCTTCCAGCTCGGCTTTCGCTTGCAAATACATCGTGCCCAGCTTGCGCAGCTTACGTCGTTTCCCTGCGGCCTCATCCTGCAAATGAAAGAGATACCACGTAGTTAGCGCCAGGCTGCTTACATAGTCAAACATGCGGATATCTGAAACAGCAAGCCAAGTTATGTGCACTGAGAGCTAGCACGATCGCGCTGCGCCCAACTCAAACATATTTATTACCCTCCACGTTCATCGGTCATTCACTTATTCATTGTCTGGTATGGTAACGACCCATAGTCCCGCGGATAGAAGCATCAGCTTCATAATTCACAACCGAAAACCAATCTCCACTGCAAGAGCACTATTTCATTGTAGGTAAAGCATTGTAGTGCGTCTGAAAACAGACACTTTCGGTATTTTACAACATTGGATTTCATAGTTGCTTGAACTCTCCAAACGTCCATTTGTTGAATTGACTGTACATCCGTTTTCACGAATTGATCTCAAGAGTCCCGTGCCACACGGTTCCTTGACCTTTCTTATTCACTTTCCATTCTCGTAGCCTGTACGATGTACCCTGGGTCCAACTGCCTCTATCTTCCCTATTGTTCCGTATTGTACACGTCTTTTGCGTGTCAATGCTACCGACTAGTATTCCAGACCCCACCCAACAGCATCCCAGCTAGCCTCATTGGCCGAGGGTCAGGATACCCGCTTGATCACCGACGCTGGAAATCGTTTGTTTCGTTTCCACTTAGTAATATAAAACTGGGAACATACTATGGCATGTTCGAAATCGCCACACCTTTAAAATGAACGGCAGCCAAAAGGGAAGTCAGAACACGTGAAGTGTGTGGTAATATGTGTTCTCTTTGGATTCATTGCTGTTCGGCACACCGGCGTCCGCTGCTCCTGAAGGTTGTTGGTCCGCTTATAATCAGCCAACGTGATTGCCTTCAGTCGTTCAAGCGCTTGTTATATTTCGTACGCTCGCGCTAAATTTCGGATACATTAGTTAGATCATCGTCTTGAGAGTTAACATGGCCTCGTTGCGCACTTATCTCGCCACTTATTAGGGCTATAACTGAGCAGATAGAATTACTGCTTTCGTAACCGGGAGTCCGGTAGTGCTTTGACACCCAATCGGGAACCGCAAACAAACAGCATTTGAGTTTTCACGTACGTTAACCTTGGTCATAGTCGTCAAAGGGCTGTGCACAGCCGGCTATTCACGGAAACGCGGTTAACAATTGTAGGTCGAAGCACTAAGCTGTAGGCGTGCACACTAGCCTGGCGTGTAGTTACTGCCTGAACATCTGCGGACGCATGGGTCCAATATTGAAGTGATGGGCCAGAGACAGTAAGGTTTGGAGAAACAGCACACAGAAGCATCTAATAGATGCAAGCGCTGCTTGTTTACTCATCGGCCTCAGAGCACGAACCTTGAGTACCACCAGAGAAACATAGTGGCGCAGCCAAGAATGAGGCTTCTGATAACTGGAGGTTATCAGATGCACTAGTGTGAGTTGAAGAACCGAAACAGCGCTGCCACGCTGGGGACTAAGAAAAAACTTTGATTCTGATGCATAGAAGGAGCAACTATGAAATAGTTGGACAGAAAAGGATGAGGACAACCACAGTAGCCTCTCACATACTTGCTCTACTTTTTACTGCAGATAAGACAGCTCCTTTGAAGCTGCGTAGAGGCCGAGGCAGGATAAATATAAAGTTTTATGAGACACCCGTGGTAGCATTAGGTTTGGTATAATAATAGACGCGCAAACCTAGGTGAGAGAATGGCTTGAGCTATATAAACGAGTTCTTGGCACAATTATCTTAACGCAAAGCAGAGTGAATTGGCAATGTTTTGAGAGATGTGACAGTCTTAAAAGAGAGTATCACTCGACATATATTTACTGAATACTTAGCCTGTTATCTACTTTGGCTGAGTAGTGCACCTGAAGTTTGATCACATATACAGTGGCACAAGCAGGTACACAAACGCCACCCGAAGGCGAGTGATGAATCTCATTCCGTTTCACTATGTATTACTTTGTTCAACCGTGTTCTCCATAGCGGCTGGTTTAATAGCCCGTTCCGACATGAGCTCTGAATAGTTTTTACTTGGACATAATCTTATCACCCCAAACCGCAATGTTAGGAGAACGCTTTCGCTTAATCAATAATGAGAAGCTAATATAATAACTGCCAGAGAGGAATACTTTATGTAACCTAAAGGTTTGCATACCATGGCAATACACCAGTATCTAATCTAATTGCAATGGATCCATATGTGTATTTCAACTCAATGAGAATTGACCGGTTACGTAACCCAAACAGTGTTATTGCACTGACAGAATTCATCCAAGTTACTCAAGTCTAACGGGTACTTTCTGAGGTTGCATACGGAGGGACAGTACCAGATTACAGGAACGTTTACGAACTGTGCTTGTGTGTTCGTTCAGGTGCATAGTGTTGTCTGTGTACAGTACTGCTTTTCGTAGATTAGCTGATCTCTATAAGCGCAATGTCACACTAGGTCATGTGGACAATCATGGTGACAAGCACTATTTCTAAATCATCAAAGCCCAATAAATCATCTGACAAATATTTACCTGCAAATTGTTGTATTTTTCCTCGATATTGATCCTTTCTTCTTCCTTCTCTTTTAGTCTTTGGTGCAATTGTTCTGCTCTTTTTTGCTGCCGTTGTAGTTCTGCCGCGGATAATTCGAGTAATTTTTCTTGTGCTTCTGCCTTCTCTAACAAGTTCTCTCCACCAACAATGATTCGACTCTGAAGTGCTTCCATGCGACGCATTAGGTTTGCCTGTATCTCCTTAGCTGTCCTCAGCTCCGCTTCTTTGCGCTCTAAATGAGCCTATCAAGAAGGTTGGAAGGTTACTTGACTGCATATTTTGCAACAATATTATCCTAAAACTGTGAACAAATGATCTACAATGAATGAAAGGCTTTCAAATTGAGTTAAGTACATTTTATATGGCCTACTCGTCAATATCTCGTTCCGTCGCGAGTATTACTTTTTTCGATAGCTACACCATCAAGCATATGGTTTAATTAGAATCAATTTGAGTTACCTGCAGAAATGTTGGTTCTTCATGCAGTTTGGAAGTTCATAAAGGGACATTTTTGCATGAAATATTAGCAGTATGTTTACGATCGTTGCAGTAACCTCACAAGCGTTTTTGCAAGTTGCCCTTCCATGTCATATTTTATTCAATTTCCGAGAATCACCTACACTTTTTCACCGTTGATTCTTAAATTGCCTCTTAATCTGGACTCCTGGTCTACCACGGTGGGGATTTTCCGCAACACATGGTTCATTCTTTTTGGGGGCTCACTTGACTAATCGATTGGCCGCTAGAAACATGCATGTGGAGATTGCGTCATTGAGTGTGGGATCTCGGAACGGGTAACAGCTTCAGTAATGCAAATAGCAGCTCAAGCTCAAAAGCATTTGATCGCTTAGACCATCGAATTCTCCTTCAGAAGCTTCGGAATTACGGCATTGGCGATCTAACCCTGAGTTGGATTAGCAATTTTCTACAAGAACGACTGCTAGTGGTGAGAGTCCGAGAATCATCGTCTGCTACAATCGATGTGGCGTGCGTAGTATCACACGGCTCGCTTCTTGGACTTCGTCTATTCTTGGTGTTCATTAACGATTTGGCGAGATCAATTACTTCCGATTTCCTATTTTTCGCTGATGGTATCAAGATATGGCGAAGGATCAGAGGACCGGACGACCATGAACAGCTCCAGCATGATCTTAACACAGTGTCGAAGTGGTCAGTTCAAAACGCCCTACCGTTCAATGTAGACAAATGTCGCGTCGTACAATTACGTCATAGTCATAACTACACCTATATACTTGGGACAAAGGGGTTGCAGAATAGCTCCCAGGGACGTGATCTTGGTGTGATCGTACAGAGCGACCTCAACTGTTCAAAACAGGCTGAGGTAGCTGCAAAAAGAGGCACCCAGCACGTCGGCATACTGCGAAGAGCATTCGGAAGATTTGACCCATCAATCTTCCCAATGATGCACAATTCCTACGTGCGCCCGCATGTTGAGTACGCTATCCAAGCCTGGCAACCTTCGTTGAAGCGCGACCTAGAAGCGATAGAGGCACCACAACGAAGAGCAACAAAGAATGTGAAGGGCCTGCGCTATCACTCTTACCACCGAAGACTGAAGTTGCTGGGAAATTTCAGCGGCCGCTATGGAAGGCTGCGCGGCGATCTCATATTAGCCTATCAGATACTGAGTGACCCCAACCACGTATGCCGCCATTTGCTAAAACTTAGCCACAACACGCAGCTCAGAGGTAACTGCTTAAAGTTGAAGGAACAATATAGCCGTCTAGAGTGTCGACGGAATTACTTTTCCCCTCGGGTTTGCCAACCCTGGAACGCACTTCCAGACTCAGTGGTATCCTCTCCTACCTTGGATGTTTTCAAAAAACGACTAGATATTGCTCTTAGCTCCCAACATTTTGTTACCTAAATTCCCCTACTGTGGATTACGCAAAGGATGCATTTCTACAGGCTTTCTGTATCAAAAGGACCTAAGTGAGCGACCATATTTTACTTTTCTCACTCTTTACCTCAATGATCACTGCACCCCAGTGTCTTTCTGAACGTTTACGCGCGATAATTTTTTCCATTTTACACTGATGTTACTTATCAAACTATTCATATCGGCAGACGTTCGATAGATGACCCAGACATATTTTGATTTCATCATATTCACCTCAACCATCCTACGGGACGTGTCAAGCACTTGCTTTTATCCCGTGATAAATCATTGTTCATTGTTCATTGTGGTGACCGCACTAATAGCTATTCTAACAGCTTTGATTCTTGTGTAGAAACCACTTCCAACTTAAATTTAAAAATTACTATGCTTCAGGTCATTTTCTCATGGTTAGGGAAGATCATCCGTTCATATCCGTGCCCAACCGGAGCCACAGTTCTTGCTTAATAACAGTCAAATGGGGCGGCGCCTAGCATGTTCAAGGTTGGAGATCTGTGTAAATTTTGTGCCGAGTTGTTAAAGTGGGAATTCTGTGTCCTACGTGGAGCATTTTTTCATGCTAAAAGGTGCATTAACACCAAGCAAGGTGAACTCGCCCAACAAATTGGTCCCTAGTACTCTGTGTAATGTGCAAAACTATCACACTGATGAAAATTAACTATATTAGCTCAGCACTAACAACAACTGCCAACAATGATTGAGGTGATAGTGTTCGCAAAATCTCGCTTGGGAGTAAGCGCAGCAGAGTGTGTAACCCATACCTCCCAAAAGCGCTGCCTCAAGTCCGAAGTGCAGGACCGGCAACACTTAGCAAAGGAACACCGGCAACGCAGAAAATCAATCATTATTTCAGAAACAAGGGCAGTCTGTTAATCAGAAAGCCTTCAATTCGATTGAAGATGTTACAGGTAATATTTTGTCTAATCTCGGGACTGAGCCTATGTTAATGCAGAACACCAATAAAACAAAATGACATCAGCGGTGCATTTATCATTTGAGCCGATGCTTTATTGACATAAACCAGAGTGAACTAGAGAATAGCGAGTACTAAAAATGGAATGATGTCTTCTAGTCTAGTACATAAGTGCTCTAAGCGAACAGGCGGGACCAAGGCGCCTACACCTTATCTACAACGGTCATAAAACAGCTGGTGGTTGCTGCTAAGACTTTTTTACTTCAGCGGTACTCTCCATCAGACATGAAATGGAAGAAGCTGAAGTGTATGGTGCATGCAGGTTCCTATGACACATGGAGACTGTCGGCCGCTATCCGTAACACATCCGGAGGTGCACAACACGTTGCTAAAAGGATACTGTATTCTGGGAGCAATGCGAAATTCAACTACGTTCAACTGCAATGAATGTAAACAAAAAGCTACTAAGCTAAAAACTATCTGTGTTGAAATAATCAAATCATTTTTCATCCTCACCTGACATTGCAAAAAAGATATAAATCACAATAAGTGGGGACTCAGAAACGTGATATACTACTGTCAGTAGGTACAGTTTACCGACTCTAACAAGGCAGAAAAGTAAATCCACCAGTGCTTCGACGTTCTGCACTGAGTCTGCTACCACTGTGTGCTTCAGCAAACTGTACCCAACCTTATCCATTCGCTGTCCAAAACACATGGAACGGGAAACTAGTTCCAGTTCTACCACCACAAGCTTATATGGCTTTCTTCGTGTGCTGCAGTGTTTGCAAGTGGAGCAGTCGCTTCAGCGAGAGAGTCACCTACACGTATAATACAGCTAATGATAATGAGACCAACTGGTACTTGATTATAAGACGAGATGTACACCCTAGTTTGCGCACTTGTATCGGTTCGGTAAATCTCGCAAAAAGGTGGGTGAGCCCATAGTAGCGCTTCAGTTCAGGTGGTTGGTAAATAGGTTAATCAACCGTACTCTAGTAATAGTCACATGGTGATGAAGCAGAACCTAGCCGGCTTATTCGGCTCTTGACTAGATTTCACGAATGCCAGTCAGTCTATGATGAACAACAAAGGCACATCACCTAAAGACGATAGAGATCAGAGTTATTCCTCCATGAATACCCCAGTCCAAACCTACCTTAGCAATAAAAAATTAGCAGCCGAAGTCAGTTGGGACAAATTCCTGCTCCCACATTTTCACTAATCAACCGTATACATCGTCTGTAACGGCTGGAGGAAGCCCATTCACAACGGTGACCTTTTTAAACTTCTGCAGTCTGATGGCCGACAAGGAAATGAGAATCACTGACTGGAGCCCGTCAAGCCTGGCAGGCTTGATGCCATCATCGTTGGCGATTGTTTGACGCACCTTTTCAACACCATAATCCAGATTATCGAGCTTCGTAAGGGCAAAACATTTCGAACTCAGTACAGATACCTGGTCACTTGACAACACGGAAGCAAAGTCCTCCGCCAACAGTGACTCACCCTCAACTCTTAAGGTTAGGAACTGTCTGTCTGAGCCTTCTATCATTAACAGAACACCTACTGGCTTAACACCGCACTTTACGTAAACAAAGAGTCTCATCCAAGCAGTCTACTCGCCTGTTACGAGCTGCTCTTCAAACTGCCGGGGCTTGTCTGTTTTTGTAGTTCTGTAAGTATTTCGCTGCCTTCCATACGCCTCGTAGTCGTCAATCAAGCCAGAGAGATGGAGTTCGTTGTAAGGTCTGCGCCATCTTCTAGCCAGTTTACCATACTCCTTGTTGAAATAAGCTAACGTAACCGATCCGACCTACTGACACTTAAGTGGCACAAACCGGTTATACAGTTAGTATATAGCACTCTATAATTGTACAATGCGCTTCAGCATATGAAGGTTGTGGTAAAGACCAACCGACTTGAATTGTGGCTCGAATCACACCATCGTAGACCGTTTTCTAATAGCTGTAGGCTGGCTCTAGTGTATGAGAATGCCGCAGCTGCATCCGGGTTTTGAGAACAAAGTGCTCGCTTACTACCAGAGTCTCCAGGATACGAACGTCATACATATGTTGTTTACAGTTTGGTAACACCAAATCTAAGCACGGTGAAGTTGAACGCGGTGTTATTCGGGCCAGCTGCAGGTGTGTTGGTTTGCTCCAATTTCAGACACAACTTCAGCGAAATTCGCTTTATCATCACAATATCCAACGGTAAATTGAAGTTCGGGCGAGCTTAATCAAGGGTAATTGAAATCGCCTGTGAGTAGAAAATATGGTAACTCATACGTTTCCGAAGATGTGGCAGCCAATCCAAACACAGACTCAGAAAACTGCGAAAAACTGCACCCACGAGCACCTAGCACCACAACTGTTCACATAAGCCAGCGTCACTTCGGTAGGCGCTCA